ATAGAAGGTGTTCAATCAATACTGAGTGAAAGCCTGAACTAAGAACATACATTATCGTTTCTCATCCTCACAAACTGTGAGGGTTATCATTAGTACAGTCTGCTAGTAAGGATCATATACTCATTTCTCCCATTTGATGGACAAAAGACTTTCAAATCGTTACTGGAAAAACAAGGTCTATTAAGGAGCAAACTTGAAAAGGATTATTCCCTCGATGTAGCAATTCCACCTCTAGGAATCTATCCTAAATAATTAATAGGAGGCAGGGAAGTTTTATTCACCAAGATCTTCATCACCAAGTAATTTATGCTAGAAGAAAACTGGAAAAAAATAGAGAAATGATTAAGCATCCAGAATTATGGTATATAAATAGGACTGACTGAACATTATATTAGCATTATATGGTATGTTTCCAAAGAATTTTTAATGATTTGGGACAATTCTTGTGTTATGATTAGTGAAAAAGCTAGAAAGAAAATTAGCAGATATTGTAAAATCAAATCATATAATGAAAAAAAAAAAAACCCCTTAGAATAGGCAGGGAAAAAAGATTTGAAAGAAACACACCAGGGACTTCCCTGGTGGCGCAGTGGTTGGGAGTCTGCCTGCCAATGTAGGGACAGGTGTTTGAGCCCTAGTCCAGGAGGCTCCCACATGATGCACCCGTGCACCACAGCTACTGGAACTGCATTCTGGAGCCCTTGAGCCACAGCTACTGAGTCCACGTGCCACAGCTGCTGAGGCCCGAGTGCCTAGAGCCCATGCTTCTGCGCACCGCAATGAAGAGTGGCCCTCGCTCACTGCAATTAGAAAGGGCCTGTGAGCAGCAACGAAGACCCAACATAGCCAAAGAAAGAAAGAAAGAAGGAAAGAATTGCTTTGCTTGGCTCTGTGAAAAGGAAAAAAAAAGTAACATACCAAAATGAACTCTTCAGTAATTATACCTTGGGTGATTTTTGTTTTGTTTTGTTCATTATAATTTTTGGTATTTTCTAAAATTTCTACAATAAGCATCTTTACTTTTAGAATCAGAAATATAAAAAATCTTCAAATTACAGATTTGGGCTGTGTGAGACTATACTGAACATTTTTGGTTCTCTTTGTGCAGCATCATTCCTCCTTCTTCTGTTGAGAGGACCTCAGTTTTTCTTTGAGAACACAGTCCTCCCCATTCCCTCGTGATGTGGATGAAGTGGGCCCCCAACCCTAGCTTCAGGGATGGGCATGTGACCCAGGCCTGGCCCATCCTCATGTTCCATCTGTTTGGCTTCAGTGACTTGTTCTAGATGGGCATGTGACTTAAGCCAAATCAGTATTTCTGCAGGAGATGTTCCTGAGGGCAGAAAAGCTCTGCTTGCATTGGTACTAATGAGCTATAAGTCTAGAGCTGCATATGAGGTCAGGGAAGCAATACAGGAAAGCATTGCTGAAGGATGGAGATGAAAAAGAATGCATGTGTGTTCACACACACACACACACACACACACACACACCCCACCTTCGAGTCTGATGACTTTGAGCTCTTAGATCTAGGCAAGTCTGGGGCATTATCACCCCTTGACTTTCCAGTTGTCTGGGCTAATACATTTTAGGTTTCTTTGTTTGCATAAACTAGTTTGCAACTTCGACAAGTTGCAGTCAAGAGTTCTCATTAATACAATTACGAAAACAATAAAAATACATAAAGTATAATCCATGAGAGGGTCCAGGGCTAATCACAAAACAGAGTACAGAACTGGTGCCACAAATCGCACCTGAGATATAAAACATTTCCATTATTGTAAATGTTTCTACTGGACATGATCTAAAGTATAGTTCATTCCCCTGGAAGTTCACTCATAGCACCTTCTATATGCCTCCTTTTAGTACATAGCTGGCAGGGGGTACTATTAAAAATAGCTAATAACCCTAAAGGCACAAGGACTGGAAGCTCTCTGTTGTGCCTGTCATTAAACCTTTAATTGCTGGATCTGGGGAGATTTGGGGTATCTCAAGGGAGGAGTCGGAGTGAGAGGGTACTAAGGTGTTTAGGGAGGTAGGTTTTTTTTTCCAATCAGTACAGAAAGATTTCAATATTCTACCAACCGATATGGCCAGCCTGGGTGTGTACAGGCTTTACACGAGCCCTGTTAACAGATATTATAGTTTCTTATTTGGGTATCTGTTTTTCCTCCTGGAACAAGAATCCCTCTAGGTAGAGACTGTCTCACTGATTTTTGTATCGTGTGCCTACCTAGGTGCTCATAGGTGTTTTTGAATGGTGAACATGAGTGATAGTCCAGCATTGTATAATTCCCTATTGTTTTTTATTTTTTTTTCTGATAGACGTTTCCTGCCTAGAATTAAATTGCAGTATGGTCTCTTTTCAGCCACTCTTCTGAAGACTTGTTATCCTCTCCAATATCAGTTGACTGAAGAAGAAAATTGTAAATTTTCTTTCAGGCAAAATGTTGATATTTTTAACACATAGTGATTTTTTTCCCCACTACAAATGATTTTAGAAATAAATCAAGATCCTAGAAACTTATGATTGCTTTGCATGGTAGCTTTTATCTCTGTCATTTTAAGAAGAAGATGTGGTCTGATGGCCCTGAGCACAGAGCCCTTTAAATTTCAGTTCTCCCACAGCTGTGTGCCTTGAACCATTTGCTAGGACATTGGGGTGTGGGTTCCCACACTTGACTGTAAGGATTGTGGCAGGACCCACACCTGTCTATGAACAATGGTCCTCCCAGTACCTAGCCCGTCCTCGTTCACAGTAGACACTTAGATGCTTATTGAATGAATAAATAAAAACATTTAAAGAGGCAATCATATATATTGATGAAGTAGTGATAATTTTTAAGTGATTAGCTTTTTAAAAAAATTTATTTATTTTATTTATTTATATTTGGCTGCGTTGGGTTTTCGTGGCTGTGCGCGGGCTTTCTAGTTGCAGCAAGCGGGGGCTACTCTTCTTGTGGTGCGCAGGCTTCTCATTGCGGTGGCTTCTCTTATTGCAGAGCAGGGGCTCTAGGCGCGCGTGCTTCAGTAGTTGTGGTTAGTGGGCTCTAGAGCACAGGCTCAGCAGTTGTGGCGCATGGGCTTAGTTGCTCCGCAGCATGTGGGATTTTCCCGGGCCAGGGCTCAAACCCCTACCTCCCCTGAATTGGCAGGCGGATTCTTAACCACTGTGCCACCAGGGAAGACCAAGTGATTAGCTTTAAAAGTCACTTTTCTTAAACCAATTTAGGTCCTATCAACATCGAACAGGTGAGCTTTCAATATTAAATAAAGGGTGTGGCAGAGAATTGGCTAATTATACATTTTTGCTGCTACTTTAGAGAAGAGTCTAGGTGTATCTAAATTATTCCATAGCTTTTTCTTATGGGCACTTCCCATTTCTTTTCCATTCTGAAGCTTTCTGGAGAGGTGTTTACTGATTTATTAGAATGCACAGGGAAAGCTCATCATACCTGGGGTCAGTCTTATAATGACTGGGTCTCCCCTCTTTTAGCTGTGTGATCTTGGGCTATTTTTAGAATTGAAATAATATACATATCTGTTCCACGACCTCACAGAGCTGTTACTGTGAGCACGAAATAGCATTCAGCCTAAGGAGGAACTATAAAACCCTATACAGATACTGTTGTTTCCTTGGGTAAGGCACTTCCTAGGCCGTGAAACTTGGCTTAAGAGGATCATTTTACTATTGTTTTGCCTTGGTACAGGCTAGGGCAGCTAAGAAGAACACAAGAATCCCCACCCCTGTAACTGTCGTCTGATAGAGAGGCAGAGAAACCCTACAGAAAAAAAAAAAAAAAAAAAAAAAACTAGGTGTACAACTGACTCTAATCTGGATTTGATTCACATACTGACTCGTGTGTGAGAGTGTGTGTGTGTGTGTGTGTCTCTGAAGCTTTGAGACCCTCACTATAACATTATAAATAAGGTTGAAGTGGAAATAGCAGGGTTTTTTTCTTTGGTTTTTTTTTTTAGGAGATATATATTCTTAGTCCATTGATGCTACTGTAGCAAATTACCATCAACTGGGTGGTTTATAAACAACAAGCGGAGCGGCTGGGCCCGTGGGCCATGGCCGCTGGGCCTGCGCGTCCGGAGCCTGTGCTCCGCAAATGGGAGAGGCCACGACAGTGAGAGGCCCGCATAACGCAAGAAAAAAAAAAAAAAAAAAAAAAAAAAAAAAAAAAGGCGCCCAGAGGGCTTCTAGAACAACGACTTTGGCGCAAATGGATTTAAAAACTCGGGCTCCCAGAGTAAACTTCTCAAGGCCCCTTCCCACCCCAAAGCCCCAGTCTCCAGAAAGGTCTCAGCAGGGGCTTGTTGGGCAGAGGCCACACCGACCAATAGAAACCAACTGTGATCGTACAGGTTGAGGAGCAGGTGGAGAAACAGAGCATTAATAATTACCCACGCCTGGGCTCAGCTTTTTACCGCGGCGCCTGGCGCCACGCTTGATCCCCCTCGAATAACAGGAATAGAGAAGAATGTCGGGGCCCAATCCCATCGCCCCCCCGCCCCCCCGCCCCCCCCGTTCCTGTCCCCCGCACCACCTTCTACCACTAGCGGTGTCCAGCCTCCTCCCTCGGGAGCGTGCTCGAGGGGCGGAGGCAGACCTTTATTGTCTGGGGAGCACCTGCCAGGTGGCGGGCCGGTCCCCTGATGTGCGCGTGGTGCCCAGCTTCACAAAGCGCGCGGGCAGCGCCACTCTCGTCCGGGAACCGCCTCTGGCAGCCCTACTACATCACAGGAGAGAAGAGGTGGAGAGATGAAGGGGCTCTGCGGTCAGGAGCGGGCGGCGAGGGCCGGTGTGCCCGCTCCCTACCCGCGGGCTCGGTCCCCCGGGATCAGCTCGTCGAAGGAGCAGGGGTCAGACGCCGCAGGCAGGGAGCAAGACCCTGGAGTGGGGGAGGGAGGGAGGGGAGGCGAGGAGGGGCGCGGAGAAGGGGCGTGGCCGGCACGCAGTGGGAGGGCGCTGGAAGGAGGGGCCGCTGCTCGGCGCTCGCAGCTCCGGGGGCCCGGCTTTGCCGCGCTCAGTGCACTTGGGCGAGAGCAGGAACGTGGGACGGAGCTCCGCTCCCAGCGCAGCCACCGCGATGAGAGGCGCTCGCGGCGCCTGGGATTTCCTCTTCGTCCTGGTGCTCCTGCTCCGCGTCCAGACAGGTGGGAGGGCGCTGCGGGCACCCGGACCGCGTCCCCCGGCTCACCCTGTGCCCCCCTAGGGCCCGAAGACGTTGGGGTGTGTCGGGAGAGGTGGTTGCCGGCCCTCTGGTGCCGGGGCATTTCAGCCTCCGGGAAGATTCGGGGCGGCCCTGGGACTCTCCTGCGCCCTGCCCTGCTCACCTGCGCAGGGAGCCCCCTGTCGCTGGTGGTAGGCGCGCTGAGCGGGGGGGTCTTCCGGGAATGGGGGTGGCGAGGGGGCCTTAGGCTGAGCGAGGTGAGGCTGAGGGCAGCGGGTTGCGTGCGAGTTTGGGGATGCTTTTGTGCGGAGGGTGAGCGGGCGCAGAGGCGGGCGGCGAGGTGGTTCGCATGCAGCGCGTTAATCTCCGCCGGGCGAGGCGCGACAGCTGCTTCCTTTTGTTAAAAGTTGTGCGTGTGTGACCGGCGCACCGGAGGACCGGCCCGCAGGTTCTCAGCCGCGCGGAGGGCGAAGTTGGAGGAGAGCCTTTTCTCTGCTCTGCGGCAGCAGCTTTCTAAACCGCGGCGCTCTTTGTGCCCCAGAGCAGGGGACGGACCCGCTGCCTCTTCTGCTCCAGGCGCCATCCTGGACCCGAGTCGAAGACCGCGTTGTTCTCGGGTCCTCCGGTTACGCCGTTTGCACGGGGAGCGTGCCGCGTGCGGCTCTGTGGCCGCGAACCTGGAGGTGCGGCTCCGGAGACAACTTGGGTAGGGCGTGTGGAAAGCAGCCGCTAGGTTGCAGACTTTTTGCTTTTGTAGATTCCGTGCCCGAGGCTCGCCCCTATCTGCCGGGTGCCGTTTCTTTCCTGCAACGCGCCTCGGAGCGGCTGAGGGCTGCGTTTGCTGCCTGCCCCCGGGGGAGACGGGGACCGTGCGCCGGGACACTGCGGTTCCTGACCCCAGCCGCCACCCACGCACGGCCGGAGTACCCGGCCAGGCTGGCAGGGCTCTGCAAGCCCCTCTACACGGTGTCTGCGACCTGTAATCGCAGGTCCCTGTTTTCTTTGGGAATTTTGAGATTCGCAACACCCCCTCTCATATGATATCTCTACAGAAGGGCTGCCTGAGGTGAGGGGTGGGAGATGGAGTGGAACTTTCTGCAAATCTTACTTACATCGTAAAGCTGTTATGAAAATCGGTTATATCTGCGTGGGAACTTGGGTCTTCAGGTGGAGGAGGATTTGCAGGCTCCTGGAAGCCCTCAGATTCCTGCCCCTTCTCTTTTTTTCTGGCCGTCGCTGGTGCGCAAGCGAGTGCAGGTCGCCCGACTAACCCCTGAAGCCCTGCTTTTAACCAGGTCATTTTTTTTTTTTTTTTTTTAACCTTTAAGGCTAACTTGATGATGTAAGGATAGAAAGTGAGTCTGAACTGGAATTCAAGGGCTCCAAAGGAAGCATCGCTGTGAACTATTGTGGGACTCTATCGACTGCTGATCAGTTTTCCCATAAAGTCTTAAGATGCAGCCTTCCCCTTCCCGGTCTTATAAGGCATTGTGAGGGCTTTCCTGTGGGGGAAGAGAGGTAGGAGGGATCATGAATGAGTGTCCGGATTCCCGTGGCGGATTTGACTGCCTAAGCTTCAAATTAGACGTTTGGTCCTTTCCATCTTTGTGCCTTGACATCTTAATTTCAGTGAAGGGGTGTGCCCTGGACCTGTCGGGCACACAAGAAAGGTAGACCACACATACTATTTCCCATTTTTTAAATTAAATGAATCAATTGCTCCCTTATTCCTCATAATTAGCCGGCTCCATCCAACAGATTTTTTTGGCAAAGGGGATTTTAAGGTCTGGCTCCTGGGGGGCAGTGTGGTGTAGTGACAAAGGCTTGTGCTGCCTTTCTGGTTCTCCTTTTCTCAGCTTCTATTGGCTGTGTGCCGTTGTGCCAGTCCCTTAAATTTGTGGGAGCCAGGGGTCCTCAACAGGGCAGCAAGTGGTCTGCACCATGAAGGATCCTTTGGGTCCCAAATTCTCCTCTTCCAGTGTTATGAGCGTAGACTCTACACTCCTTCTGAACTCTTTCTCTGAA